CATCTAGAATGTCAGGAAGATACTCAGTCCCTGGGGAGATGGACAAGACCAACATTCAGACAGCTTGTTGAGCAGCCTGTTTGGATGCTGTCATATCATGCTGGATAACTTCAATGCTATCAGTGCTTGTAACTGCAAGTCAGGATCCCTCAGGGGCTTTTGAATGGTTGCTGCAGTAGCAGGTCCTGCGGCAGCAGGACTCCTTGCATCTGTTACTGTCTCCTCCAGCTGTCAGTCATTCCTTCCTGGGCTGTAGGTTTTGCTTCTGCTCAGTGTGTTGAGTCCCTCAGCTCATTTAAGGTGGGAGACATTTCTCTTTAGCACAGAGGGCAGCTTTGGTCCCAAACTCAGAGATGTGAAGCAGGCCAAAAGTACAGCAACTAGTGTTTTCCTTTCATCTCAGGAAAAAGACTGTTCTGCAGTTTCTCCCTCTGTTGCCTGCAGTCACCAGATCAAACATTGTGTTCCTACCCAGTTCTTGAAACTTTTGAATCACCTCATCTTTGCCTTTCTAACGAGGGACCCAAAATGTCATACTGCCAAAGGCATCTTCCCCAGCACATGGCAACAGGATTGCTAATTACACTGGGACAGGGGGAGCCATTCCCTGGGTTTTGGATGCAAGCTGATACAGCTTGAAGCTTTGTATTCCTTCTTCCGCCAGACACACACATTTCTACATGTTTTCTCTGGAGGTCTGGAGATGCAGAATGAACGCCGATGAGTTTTTTCATCCCTTTCACACCTCCATCTCTCCCTTCTCCCTGGCCATTTGCTTCCCTGCCTTGCCAGCACTGCGGAGTGAACCTGTACCCTGGCCTCTGTGTATGCAAAGTCATGCTAGCCCAGCCTCCCGTGCCACTGAGTGTCAGGAGATTGCTGCTAGCAGGTGCCAAATGCTGCTGACTTGACAACAGTTCTTGGGGGTAATTCAAAGTGGAGAGTGTCCTCCAGAAGGTGAAGCAGGGCAGGAGCTTGACTTTCATTGTATGACTGACCCTCCAAAGAATATTCTGTTTTTCTGTGATCCTGGAAGATCAACACACCTAAGCTAAATACAGATAAATACAATGAAATACAACCTGGGGAAAGACCCTGTGCACTATACTGCAACCCAGCCAGTGATACCCAGATATCTCACTAAGCATCGTTGCTTTTGAAAACCAGATGCTGGAGATGATCCAGCAGTAGAGGAAGATGTACCCTTCAGCACAACTTCAACAGCCTCTGCAGCCTCTGAGGACCCTGTGATTTGTGAACATCTGCCATCAAGGCAATGTGGACTGGTGATTGTGCATCAGCTGTTTGTGTTATAATCTGGCCTATTGATGTGAGGTGATGGTGGTGGAAGTCCTCATTTCACTCATGGGGCTGTCAGCCAAGGTGATTTCCTGCTATTGACGGTGATCTCTGGCAGAGAGGTGTGGCAGTGGGTGGGAGCTGGGAACATTTTCAGTCAACTTAGTACAAGTTGAAGTGCTAAGATGTGCCCATGTCTTTCAGCTTTACTGCATCTGGTATATTCTCATAACCTCTCATGGTTGCAGCCCTTGCAGGGCAGCTAGCAAACACATGTCGGCATCTGCCTCCTCCTCATACCCAGCAGGGAGACAAATGCTGATTGTGGGGCTGGGCCCTACATGTTTGTGTCACTCCGTATGAACTATCTACATGGATTCCTTTGTGGATGCAGAGGAGGGAGCTGAGTGTGCTACTTGGAAAAGCAGTAGTGACCTATGAAATCAGAGAAATCTGTTGCCAAAATAATTGCTTAATCCTGGAAATACGAAAAAAAACCTATAAAAGAGCCTCTGCAGCTAAATTATTGTTCTGCTGGCTGGTTCCCAGATAGAGGACAAAAAAATGGAGCATCCATTCTAATTAGCAATGAGAGCTCACTGCATCTTCTGCCATTTGCAGAAGCAAGTTAAGATCAAAGTGTCCTATGTACAGGAAGGGCCCATCCCTCTTTCTGCTGACAGTGGTGTACTCTGCTCTTCCTCCAGGCATGCTGCTTACAGGGATGCTTAATTACTAAGTAAGGAGGAGATTGCACATGTAAGAGTGTAACAGCCACCATAAGAGATGATTTGGTGGTGATCTATTCTTGCTGTCTCTCACAAGTCATGAAACTCCTCTGCTTAGAAAAGATGTGGATTGTGTACTTCTGCAAAAGGAGACCCTTTACAACATCCTTTGCTAGATTTTTCTGATCTCTTATGTGTAATTTGACTTACTAGACTGGTCTGTATGTGTGTGCATATATCTATATTTGCATTTATATGTACCCAAGGGAATTGAAGTCCTCATTCCTCAGGCTGCATTGTAAAATCCTTTTCTCAATAGATATGCTAAATCTGAAATCTCTTCTTCCCTCTCTCCCTTGCCTCCCTCCTTTTGCATTAATACAAAAGCACATTTTTGCAACTCCTAATTTGGAAATGTTTAAACATGTATCATTTGTTTGAGTTTTCCAACTAGATGTCTTCCTGGACATCCAGGTTTGTAAGTGTATGTGTCTTTGTGTGCATCCACCTGTGTTTTGGGACATGAGTATTGGTGCGGAAGGATGCAGTCACGTAGATACTTGCTTAGATGGACAAGGGCATGTGTAAGTATGCTACATTTTCTAGTAGTCTGAGATATAAAGAAAGACGCTGTAGCTTCCAAGGAGGATCTGAGCTTTGCTCTTTCAGCTGTCTGCCTGGGAGAGGAGTTGCGCTGTAGTAATGGCCCCCTGGTGCTGTGTTAACACACCAGCCTACCTCCCCGTTTATGCTGGTGGAAGAGGACTTTGCTTACATTTGGTCTCCTGACTCCCCTGTCTCCTTGTTTAAGCTTACTTGTCAGAAGCAGTTGTGTGTGTTTTCCCCAGCTGTAGCCCTGCAGGTGCCACTTAGCTTAACAAAATGAGTCCTCGTCTTTAAGTGCCGTCTGCCTTGTCTGCATCCTGGGCCAAGGAACAGCTGACAGGCCCTGGGATGTGTAAGGCAAAGGCAAGTCTGAGGAGCTGGCTTGCCCAGTGGTCTAACAAGAAAGAGACAGGACAGCATGGTGTGTGTGGGTGCTCACCTTGCATGCCCAGGTTGAAAGCAGCTCCCCTTGGCAAGAAGAGACCTCAGCTCTTCCTCAGTGGTCCCTCCCACCGCCCAAAGCCATGGAATTCAAATTAAAAGAGATGCTGTGGTGCCTTGAAAGGTGGAGGAGATTATGGGGGCTGTGGGGTGCTGGAAGGTGAGAGTGGGGTACTGGCAGAACAAAGGGAATATTACGTGTTTTCTTTCCTTTTTTTAAATTGTTCATAAGTAGATTGTGAAATTTTCTAATGTATTGAAAATTATTTTTACAGTGAAGAAGTTATGTTTGTTCTATTTCAGTGTTTTTATTACTCTGTAGGATGTTTACAATCAACTAATAGAAATATTAGGAATAGCAAGAGGGTGGTTTTGTATGAAAATCATAGCATCTTGATGACTGAGTGATTGATGCAACTAACCCTGCAATACAAAATGTGAACTCTAAGTTTTCCAGCAAATTTGCTATTAGTGAATACTCACGCTTAAGTATTACTTTTCCTGAATGACAAGAATTTGAATATGTGAGTTTTTTGTGGAGGGGATAAGGAATGGGGCTGAAGAACACATGTTGCTATTCCAAGTCATATGAGTAGTTGATTTTCCTCTCATGGAGACCATCTTATTAAATCTACACTGAACATGGCAGAAGAGCTTTCTGCACCATGTTGGAGAGAGCAGTTAATCCAATAAATGTCCAAATTATTGTGACTCCCTGCACATTGTTTAGCACATGGATGATGCTAGACTGGATGAGCAGTCATGGCAAGGTAGCCTTCAAATTTATGCCTGCAGAAAAGACAATCCCTTGTCAGGGTCATATTCAGCAAGAGCCATCGTCAAAGGTGACATGGATCACTTCTGGTTTTTGAGCTACTGTCGCTCTCTGGCCAGTCATAAGCAAATGAGGACTCCAAAACCATTCCCAGTCTGTGGACCACAGATGCAAGTGGAAGGCAGATGCCTTGTAGAAAGGGTGATGCTTATTACTAGCTTTTCAAATTATTTACTTTCACTTGCTGCTGACAGTCCTGCGCAGGAGATTGATGGATTAAGCTTTCACCAGCTGTTCCTCATCCAGGCACCTAATTCTCTGAGGTGTTAGCACCAGAGATGAACTGTTTGTCTAGGAATTTCCGAAATGTTCCATATTTTAAAATATGTTCCAAGCTTGTGAGGAAAGTCAGACTTTTTTTTTCCCCTGCAAAGTAAGAAACTCATTAATTTCACTTGGAGAGGATAAAATGGCATTTTGTCTGGCTCAGTTCTGAAGCACTTCTGAGCCTCCATGAACTACCTGGGTCTTTGGAGATGAGAGACATGGAGGAGAGAACTGAAGTCCAGGGAAAGTTGCTAAAGATTTGCAAGGTCCTGGAGTATTGCAGCTCCAGAGCAGTCAGTCCAAACCAGGAACTCATCATAGGCTGTTGAAGTGCTAGAAACTTTGGATCTGTAGCATCTGAAGCTCAGCACTTTCAGGTTCTGAGAACCCCATCTCTCCATTAGGTACAGTGGGAAGGATCCAGGTGTGGAACACCACTCATCATTTTCTCAGAAATTAGACTGTTTCATTTCTTCATAGTTCAAATAGAAACCTGTTCTCATGAAACATTTCACCTTCAGCAAACCACTGTCTCTTGGCAGAAAATAGAAACTTTGCTGGCAACCCTTCCTGGAGTCAGCAAGAGAATAGGGTGTTCTGCAGACTACACCTGAGTGCTAGTAACATTCTGATATTGCCTTGAAAACTCCTTGCCTTCTCCTCTAGCAGCCTCCTGCATGCCTGATTTGTTGAGGGAAGAATATAATTCTTTTTAGCCTGCATTAATTGGTAAGGGACAATTGTGTAACAAGATGCTGCTGTCATGACTTGCAGGTGTATGGGGCTACCTGCTGTGCTTGAACTGGGTGTCCTTCTCTTTCCAGGTCTGGTGTGTCCTCTGGAGGTGTCAGTCAGTTCAGGGAGTATCCAGGTTGCTCGAGGCCAGACAGCAGTATTGCCCTGCACCTTCACCACTAACGCTGCTCTCACTAACCTTAATGTCATCTGGATGGTCATTCCTCTTTCCAACGCCAACCAGCCTCAACAGGTAGGTCCTTTCTAACTGAAGCACGCATTTTTGAGGGGCTTTCCTTTTCTCACCCTTTTCACACAGGTCTGGAAGTAGTCCCTTTACAATGCTGAGTCTCTGGTTGTCTCAGAACATTCTCTTCATTGCTGAACATGCACTCTGGATCTTACATGAATCTGATTTCTTCAGTGCTTTGTTAACTGATGCATATTGTGACCTTGGCTGCCTTGGCTGGATGTGCAATTGTGGCAGGTGTATGTGATACTTTATGGCTGGCCTGGATCTCTGGTGGCTTGTGTGTTCAGGAGAGCACAGAAGATGTAATCCAGGTTTTGGTGTGCCAGATATGGGATTCGGAGTATCTGGGAGCAGCTGCAGGCTTGAACCTGTTAAATCCATGTAAAATGAGCCAGAACACATGGCTTCTCATAGACTCATCTCCCCTTTTACTTCCTGTCTTACTTTTTCACTGTTCCTTAGGCAAGTCCATTCCTATGAACATCAGCAAATGAGAATCTATTGTGGTGGGCACAAGAATCATAACCTGAGATCTGCTGACTGGGTTTTGGCTCATATACCCTGACAGCAGAAGAATGCCATTAGTCTGAAATGTATCTGTCTTGGGTCACACTGCCCCAATCACATTCAATATTCAGTTGTGAGAACCTGCACTGAAGAGTACTTGCTTCTCAGGGACTTGGTCTGAGTACAGACTGCTATATAAACTGACTGGTAGAGGTTGTGCGGGTTCAAGGGTTGCATTGCCTATCATTAAGTTCATCCAAATGATCTTCAGTAAGCAGAATCTTACTGGCTGAGACTCAAAATGATACTGTCCACTGGGCAGATGCTTTCCAACAAAGTATTCACTGACCTGCATGGAATCTCTGTTTCTCTATATTGATTTTCTTCAGATGAGTAATGACTATTATATGAAGCAGGCTGGTATTACCAGTCCAACTATGCCAGAAGACTTGGGTATCTATCTGGTCTATTATCTCTATGAACATTTCTATTGACATAAACCAAGCTACAGAGTGTGTTCCTCTTCTAGAGAAAACACCTCTTCTAGGATGGGTCTGCCTAGGACAACTGTATATTGATGTCTGGTTATTTGGAGATCCTTTAGGAACTGGTTGTTTTGGCTGTGGAAGCCCATGTTTTTCTTTCTGTTCTTTCTCCTTGCTCAGCTCCTGCAAAATGTTGTTTGAACCTTCCTTTCTTTTCCAGGTTATTCTCTACCAAGGAGGTCAGATCTTTGGTGGCGCACCCCAGTTCTATGGGCGAGTGGGGTTTGCTGTGACAATGCCAACCACCAGTGCCTCCATCTTCATCAACAACACTCAGCTATCAGATACTGGCACATACCAGTGTTTGGTCAACAATCTTCCCGACCGAGGCGTCAGGAATATTGGAGTCATTGGACTTACTGTTTTGGGTGTGTTTATTGGGATTGTGGGGGAGAGGGGAGGAACAGGGACAAGGGGATCCTCTGTGCATGATAGTGTATCATAGCAGAGCAATATGGTAGTGTATGCATTGGAGCCCACGGACATCCTGTAGTGTGGGATGGGCTGCCTTGTGGGTATTGTGGGAGTTTGTAGGGCACATAGCTTTCAAATGCAGATAGCATATAATGGAGTTCTAAAATATGGTGGAGAGAAAGCTTTTGTGGCAGCATTGTGATGTGGAGTTGCAAAGAAGCATGAATGAAATATGAGGGCATCCTGGAGAGCTGAAGGGACCATGAAAGTTTTGTGCATAGCAACAGGAGAAGAGAATGACTTTAGATCTTTGCTTCCTTTTCATGAAAGCAATTAGTACTAGATGATCCTTAGGATGTTAAATACTACAGAGTGTGTGCCATTATACGGCTGTGAAAGCGAAACCCAACAACAGCAAATTCTGTCTGCAGCTCTGTTAGCTCTCACCACCCTTGCTGTCTCAAATACAGAAATGTTCACCTTCTTTGTCTCTAGGGAGGGATCTAATAGAACTGGGTCCTGCGAAAGTCAGCAGCAGTCTGTAACCTTGACGGTCTGATGGGTCAGGAATCTTTGTGAATTGTCTCCCCCCGAACCTTAACGGGTTTTTGTCTGCTGCCTCCCTCTTGTCCCCTTGTCAGCTCATGCCAGTGTCCTTGCTTTCTCCAGCATTGCTTGTCCAGAAAGAGCCTGTACTTCACCAATTGGTCATAGTTCCTGATCTGCTGTCACTTTCACCTCTTCTCTCGCAGTTCCTCCTTCTGCCCCACTTTGCAGAATCCAGGGGTCCCTGGACGTGGGCAGCGATATCACACTGACCTGCAGCTCGGAAGAAGGCATCCCCCGGCCAACATACCTCTGGGAGAAACTGGACAATGTTCCCAAGTTGCCCCCAACTGCCACACAAGGTGCTCATTCTGTTGTTTATCCTCTTATTTCCCAGGTGACAGCCTGGGCTTTCCTTTGTCTGAGCCACCAGAGATGGCATGGCTCATTGGGTGTCTGTCATCACTTGCATGGTCACTTTATTGGAAGGAAGATTCCTAGAGCCCATGGTGGACTAGGTACCCTCCAGTGGCCACTTAGATTTGTCATAGTTTTTTGGTACAGAAACATCTTCCCCACTGAAGAACAAGGGTCTGGTCAAATGGGAAAGAACATGGTTGCCAGATGTTGGCAACTGGAGATTTCAGCTGCCGACTCACCTGCATTTTAAACCAAATGAAAAGCTCATAGATTGGAAACTGGGAGAAGGGAGACAGAATCAAACCAGGAAAATACTGCCAGCTTCTCACACTGAGGTCACTGTTATCCATTAAGTTACTGCCAGAGCTGCCTTTCAGATGTGTAAAAGCAAGGCTCTGATCAGACTGGGTATTGCCCAGCCCCTAGTGGTGACCTGACCAAGTGGTAATAGCTGTACTTTTGCCCTTTATTTTGCTGTATTTTAAGAATACACAAGCTTTTTAGTTTTACATAGTTCAGGAATGAAGAAAATTGGCAGAGCAGGGGATGGGGGGCCCAGGGATGGGAGAGCAGGTGTTCTGCAGGGCAGGATTGAAAGGAGCAGGTAGATCTGGGTATAGGCAATTGCACATCTCTTCTTTTTCCCTTTTTCTCACACAATGCTGAGAGTCCTAAGCTTTCATTTGCAGAAATTAATCTATAAGAAGAAAAAGAAACATCTAGTGTAAGCTCTTTAAGACCTAATCTTGTCTTTGTGTGTGTATGTGTGTGCGTGTGCACAATGCTTCCATCTCAAGGTTATTTCCTAATTTATTTCTCTCTTAAGAGTCTCACACCAAAATTCTCTATTTACTGGCTTTGCCTTTTCACAGTTTTCCTCAAGGAGGGGGGGGGGATTTAAATCCTTCTTTTCTCTCTGACTAGACCAAGTCCAGGGCACTGTCACTCTCCGAAATATCAGCACTGTGTCCTCAGGTCTTTACCAGTGTGTGGCTTCAAATGCCATTGGAACCAGCAGTTGCCTTCTGGACCTGCAAGTCATTGCACGTAAGTATTTTGCCAAGGGAGGCTTGGCCACCTGCTTCTGTCTTGTGACAGTAAAGTGTGTAACCATGTTTGCTGTGAGCCACCATGTGCTTCTCTATCAGAAGATCTTTGTGCCGTGGAACGGGGACATTGCCTTTCCCCTCTCCCAAGCCATGATAGCTTCAAATGCTTTTTGGATGGCCACAGCCCAGTCCTGATTTCTTCTTTATTTTCTGTTCAATCATGCCCACAGCCCATCCCCGAAGCATTGGCCTGATTGCAGGAGCAGTGGCCACAGGCGCTGTTGTACTTCTTGTTTGCATTGTGTTGGTGGCCGTGGCTTTGTTTTACTGGAAAAATAAACACAAAGAAGAAGAAGAAGAGGAGATTCCCAATGAGATAAGGTAAGGATCAGGGAAAGATGGTGGCGAGGACCTCTGATCATTCAGCAGAAGCAGCAGCTGGCAGGAAGGCAGTTAGAAATCTCACTTTTGCTGGTCTTGGGTGTATTCCCCTGTGCCAAGGGAAGATGTCCATATATGTTGAGAAAATAGAGAGAGCAAATGAAGAATGGTAACAACAGAATTTGTTTTCAGTATTGCCTTTACTGAGAGCTTTGGCTTGATGTTGTTACCTCCATAAGACAGTGATGTGGTGGGAATCCGGACCCGTGATACCAGACACTGATAGCCGAAAAACTCTGGATATACCACCGTGATTTTCTCTGGTGTTATAGCCACAGTGTTTCCCTCTGGTAGCTTCCTGCAGCTCTCCTGAGGATCAGCCTCATTTCTTGTACAGTCATACTGACTGCCTGCGAAGTACCAGTGGCTGTGACAACCACAGGTTTTGCCCCTCTAGGCACATAAGCATGGGTCCTTTGCCTCAGCAGTAGACTTTAATGGGCACAGAGGTGGGTTCTGCAAAGAGGGATGACCAAATGGGCCAAGGAGCAGTACTGGTTCACATTGGTGCTGTCCTTCACCTTGAACTGTGTGTTGATCCCAGCAGGGTGTGGTGGGGAAAGGTGTTGGGCAAGTCGGGCAGCATCCACAACATGTCCTCACACCCTCTCCTTCCCAGGGAGGATGATCTGCCGCCCAAATGCTCCTCTGCTGCCAAGACATTCCACGCCGATGCATCTTCTTCAGAGAATGACACCCTAACCTCCTCAAACACCTATAACAGCCGCTACTGGAATGACCCCAAAGCCAACCATGCCACAGACTCCTTCACCCGCTTCAGCAACAGCAACGATGCCCACCAGCCCCCCTTCTCCCGCTCAGGGAGCACGAGCACCCGCCCTGTCTATGCCAATGGTGGCCACCCATCCCCAGCTCCCCCTAAGACGCTGGTGGTGACAGCCAGCACGGCACCGTCCCCTCAGGACGTGATCAGGAGCAACGGCTCGGGCAGCAGGAAGCCACGGCCACCACACACCCGCTCCTATGCTGTCAGCCAGGCCACGCTGGAGCGGATTGGGGCTGTCCCTGTCATGGTGCCTGCCCAGAGCCGGGCTGGCTCCCTTGTGTAGGGCCACACTGGTGGCTGAGAGCCAAGCAAGGGGCCTCTCATACCCAGTGGGGCGAAGAGACCCTACTCCTTCCTGAAAAGTGGTGAGGCAGCAGGGTGGACACACATACGCCTGTTCCCCCTGCCCTCACCTCCTGAGGCCACTGCTGGCTGGTGGCACAACCCCGGCCATGCCACATTCCTTCCAGCTGTCGGGTCTCCTTGAACTGGTGGACGCCGCAGATGTGCCAAGGCCAGGGGAGCAGGGAGGCTGGGACATGCTCCCCGGCTGCTGGGCCCTGGCCGGGATGTGTGCCCAACCCTGACCTCAGGGGGGTGACTTTTGCTTTTGTTTCCTGTTGGTTTTGTTGGGGGTCAATTCCGTCCATTTGGGTCTTTCAGTAAGGCTTGGGGAGATATATATATTATTTTTTTTCCCGTTGTTGTTACTGTTTTATTTCCAAGAGGATGATAGCCTGCATCAGGGCAGGGAGGGGTGCTGAGGCAGGTTATGCCTCAACATGGTGGCCCCAGCCTTTTCCCCACGGCCCTGGCCCTGCTGTGGGATGAGGGAGGGCGGTGGGCCGGAGCCAGGTGTTAGGAGACACGGGCTGGGCTGGAGGGGCGAGAAGGAAACGCAGCCATCAGCCTGGCCAAGGGGATGGCTGGATGAAGGTGTGGACCAGGGAGCGTTTGTCTTTATTTTTTGTGGTTCTTCTGCCACCTCACCCCAACACACACACAGACACACACAGACCCTCCTCAGACTGGGTGTTTTTCCTGCACTAGCTCAGAGTGCCACCAGAGCCCTGTTCGTGGCTGTGGAGAACACAGCCATCTGAGCGTCTTTCCCCAAGACGCTCCATGCAGGGCACAGGTGTGTCACTGCTGCTGTTGCTGCTGCTGCTGCTGCTGTAAGGCTCATGGCTTTTTTTTTTCTCTTGGGTGTTGCTGGGTTTATTTAGGAAGCATAGAGGAGCAGGGTGGTATAGCTGATCAGCAGGCAGGTCCAGAGGTGTCTGCTGCCCCTGGGCTGCTCTGGTTCAGGGCAAGTGGCTTCAATCCCCACAGCTTTGGTGTATGCATGGTGGGTTTTCCTCATCGGGCTACCCAGGGCTGGCCAGCATGGCAGGGCATGTGTTGTGCTTGGGGCCCTCACACAGAGGCATCACAGTTTTAATTTCTGCTCTGCCATGCGCACAGACTTCCCACATGCTGAGGTTAGCAGGATTCATTTCCAAAGCCCTTTCCTTAGAAGAGTGAAAGCAGGGGCTTAATGGAGGGGGTAACCCTGTGGAAGCCCATGTGCTATCTCTCTGCCTTCCCTACTTCCTTTAATGTCCTGAGGCCAGGTACTGATGGCATCTGCCGGTGGCTCTGCCACCTCCTCACAACCACGGAGGTGGTTGTGGCTGTCACCTATCCTTTTTCTATTGCAACTTAATAGCCTTAATCAAAGCCAAGAGTTGAAACCACTGAGGGAACCTGGTGCCATTTGGAGGGCTGGACTGAGGGCTGGGACTTGGCCTCCTAAAGAGCACTGGCTCAAAGGGGCCATGTCTGGATGGGTGTCTCAGCCCTCCTGCGTAACACCAACCCTTGCACATGTGAAGGCATTGGTCACCTCCAAAGGCATCAGAACCCTCCCAGGTCTGCTCTTGGAAAAGCAATGCGGGGAGTCACAGGTGACTTTCCGTAACTCTTACACTGGAAAAAGGGTCTGTTTAAGCCAACAGACTCTTCCTCATCCCCACTTCCCTTGTCCTGGCACCGCTTTACTTTCCCTAGCAGTGCACAAACCTTGAGCAGGGTCTTCTGCCAAAGTGGTACCTTTCAAATGCAAGCACAGACTCTGAGGAAGAGGGGGGAGAGGTGAGGGCTGGGTTCCTACATGGACACACTGGCTTTTGGGGTGGTTGGTTGCTCCCAGGCAACACGAGGTTTGAGACTTAGCTGAGATTTTGTGCCTTCTTTGCTTAAATTAAAAAAGAGAAGGAAAAAAAAAGGAGGGGAAAAAATCCAATCTCTCTTCCTTCCCTCTCCTACACAACTCCATCCAGGATGGGTATAAACCCCCTTGGTGGTGCAGGCAGGTGGTTGCTCTGTGTGCACGTACACGTTTCACTGGAGCAGTCCTCTTTCCTGCCTTTCTGCTCACTTTGCTGCTGGGTGGTAGGATTGATGGGGGAGTAGAAGAGTGGCTTTACAAACCTTAATGTAGGAGGGGAAAAAAAAACAACAAACCAATCAAAGAAAAGCCCAGACACATTCTCTCTGCTTTTGTAACAACCCCTGTGTGACATTTACAGGAACACTGCCCTCAGCAGGTCCCCTCTTCTACTGGGAAAGCTCTTCTGGTTCCTACACTCCATGAGACTGTTTGCTCCCCTTTCTTTGTTCTTTCTAATTGTCTAAAATTCAATAAAATTTTATTCATATAAAAAAGGACTTCTTACTGCCTGCTACTGCTTCCCCAACCCCAATTCTGTAACTACAATGAATCTGACTGTTAGTACTCATCCTTGATATGACTGGCAGTAAGCAGCAACTGTGCAACCAAGACCTGCACATTATTAGGCCAGCCAGTTTGGTAGTGAACCCTGGTGCTATAGCCTTGTTTTCCTCATTCATAATAGTTTGACATGTTGCCCTTGAAGGTACAGTTTCCCAGGCATGCAAGGTCTCTACTTGTCTAGACAAAGGTGAGTTTCATTTTTCTGTCATTTGACAGGGGAGAACTTTTGCTGCTTTGAGCCATGTGGGAAAATGCTTTTAAAATTGCCTAACTTTGCTCATGTATTGGTTTTCCAATCTGAAACATGGCATGTTCATCTCAGATTCAAAGTCTAAGGTGGTCACCAGGAAGGTCCTCAGTGACTTTCTTGGGTATCTGAATAAGTTTGATGGAGGAAACTGTCAGGAAGTTAACAGAAGTGCTGATCTCCATAGAAAGATCATTGGAAATTTCATTGTCTGAGCATTCACCCTTTCAGGGCATAAGGGGACTGGGAAGCACACACTTCTTAGTCTGTATGAACAGCTGCTAGCAGAAAGTTATTATTAGTTAGGTCACCCTGATGTTTTCCCAAAGATTTTGCATTTTTCTCTCTGTGTTTCATTTTCCCAGTTTCTTCTCTAAAATCCCCCAGATATTCTGAGAATGATTATTAAAACCAGAAACCTACAGTTCCAACAGCTGTGATAATTCAACCCTGCTGCACATACACTGTGTTCTCATTCCATTGTATTTTTCAACACCTATTTTAAAATACTCCTGTAAATACATTTTCAGCTATAGGTCTTATAGTAAATGAGATCACTGCATTGCCATTTTCAGAAAGTTGACATAGGAATCTTAATGTTTGCATTTTTTATCTTTTGATTGTGCAACCTTGATGTGACATTAATAGCATCTTTGCATTTTATTCCCATGGTAGCCCTGTTAGTATTCTGCTATACTATCCATTCCTTGCCACATGCTTGCCCCTTACATCATTCTTCAGCATATCTCTGTCTATTGATCTAAAGCACAATTTCCTCAGATATAAGATAGTTTACTAGGTTTGTGTAGCACCTAGTATGCTGGAGTTTTAATCTGTAAATTGTACCTAGTGAGACATTGCTGGATTACAATATCTAGCGAAAAAAAAATACCAGTTAGAGATTTCGATAATGCTCCAGAGTGACTATTTATCATTAAAAAGCAAAAAAAGATTCAAGCTATTATAGTTGCAAGTGGAAATCACTACTGCAATGCTTGAGTTTTCTGACAGCCTTCAATCCCAGCTGTGTAGTAGGGACTGTCGACCATAGTGGGTGCCACAGATGTTACTTTAAATGTCATACCTATTGGTTGTTTCACCTTCCACCAAAGAATATTAGAAGGAAACTTGTTCTAGCACAAGAATTAACTGTACATTTGAGCACCGAGACAGAGAAATAACCACAAGAGGATGCTTTACGCTTTAGCAGTGGACATCTTTTTAGAGGTTGGTGCAGATGTGAGCTCTAAAACATTTGGGAAATTTGGTCTGTAAACTGTCAGAAGTTATTTTAACTCACACAGCTTTTGGACTTGGATCTGCTGATTCATCTGAACTAAAAAAAAATAAAATTACCCAGACACATGCACTTCGGCAAACTCTTCCCAAAACACAGATGAGTTTCCAGCAGAAGCCAATCTACCAGATGGTGTCCTGTCCAAGTGCCTGTATTCCCCATGAGGACTTGGGATGCTCAGGAGATCTTCCTTATGTCATGATTTAGGTCCTCATGAAAAGTACCTCAAATCAGGGTAGCCCCAGATGATAACCAGAACTGAGGTAACTGGGTGATCAATTTGGTACTGGGCAGAAGAAATAAAACCAAATCTTTTTGGCACAAAACCCACCCCCCATGGAAAGATATTGGGGGAATTTTCATGATAAATTTCTGGTTTCATCAAGCACATTGGTAAGTTTTTGTGGGATACTGGATTTCTCTTGGAAGCAGCATTTTGCATCACAGCTTCATCTACTTTAGGCACCTAA